ACAGGACAAGATCAGACGTAGTCTAAGATCTTAGCACTCATCTCGAAATAGAAGGACACGGCACAAAATAAGTGAAACATTTCCAAGAAAAAGAAACTTATATGAATTAACTAGATAAGAAAACGATCACTAATTTTTATTTGTTTTTTTTTATTTTTCAAAAGCGGCTTAAGTCGAACTGGTCACAAAATAAAAGTACAAGCGAAACTAATCCGGTCTACAGACGAAACGAAAACAACAGAAATAAAACGTCTTTCGTTCATAAGAGATTTTTGATCGACAAGAAGGCCATCAAATTCAGTCATTACCTTCAACATCCGCAACACAATTTTTCTATTTTCCAGTTTTTTTTCTTTCAGAGTTTGCGGGCCGTTAGAGCTGACCATTTACATGGAAGGGTTTACTTTTCTTAATCAGTCTTCGCAATTCTTCATTCAATCTCTCGTTTTCGTTTGGGATTCAGTTCTTCCTTCCGTCGTAATCCTTTCTTTATTTATTATTCTTTTATTCCGTTTTAACCCATAATTTATTCTTTGGTTCTTTATTTCTTTTTAATCCTATTCCATTCGTTATTTATTCTGTTATTCTTGATTTATTCTTTTGCTCGATCCTAATCCATTCTTCATTTCTTATTTGTAGATGTACTATATCGTTCCGTCTTAATCCATTATTCATTCTTTTATTCTTGATTTATTCGTTCATTCCTTCCTATCCAGTTCTGGAGAGCGGAGATTGTGTAACAGGCAAATAAAAATTGAAGAGCTGAGTTTAAATTCCAGCCGATTCATTTTCATTTGTTCCGCAATGATGCGTTTGGGAAAGGCATGAATCCATCTTTCCCTAGCTATGGGTGAAATAGAAGAGCAGACTGAAATGTTTCTCCTTGGTGTTGTCACCAGTGTAGCAGAACGAAACCTGCCTGAAGGGGGGGATGGGCTTTATCAATCTTGCCCTAGACACACCACTGCTGCCACTACTTCAGTACACGTTTGCTAAACTCGTGACTTGATCCAGTTTATGGTTTATTCTTTCAGCTTTTGAGTTACTTATTCATTCCTATATAATCAGATTTATATTCGTTTATTCTTTCTGCTTTTGAGTTACTTCTTCATTCCAATATAATCCACTTTCTATTCATTTATTCTTGATCTATTCTTTTATTCCGATGTTATTCATTCTTTTATTCTATCTTTTCATTGTATTCCATGACAAGCTCAATTTATTCTTTCATTTATTCTTTACCAATTCCATATTTATTCTAACATACTTTCATATTTGTCTGATAATAATTATCGCTTCATTCTGACATTCATTCATTGTTTATTCTTTCATTCCTTCTCTATACTGCCCTTCTTTATTATCTTTTAATTCTCATTCGAGTTTTCATTCCTTATATAATTTTAAATATTCTTTCATTCTAACCTTTTCTTTATTCGATTTTAATCAATCCATTATTCATTCTTTCCATCCTTTCAATCTATCTTCGTTCTTTACGTATTTTCTATTCCTATTTTGTGTTTATGAACACATACGTATCTCTTCTAAGAAATAGGACTCAAGATAAACCTTTCCAAAAAAAGAAACCATGTTTTGAAAAATATGGTACACAAACACACACGCGCGCGCACACACATACACGCACTCACATATTGTCTGAATCGTCTTCTAGAAGCTCGAGCAAGATCTAAAAGGTCAGCCAACGTAACAGTGATCTTGTCCACAATCCTCACTCTTCCTCCATATGTCTTAAGTGTCAAAACTGAATCAGTTGTTTAAGTTGCCAGATCCTCATACGTAGAAACTGATGGGAGAGAATCCATCATATATATATATATATATATATATATATATATATATATATATATATATATATATATATAGATAGAACACTAACGCAGTTTGGACCGCCGAGGTTTCGTTAGGTGGTATGTTCAGCGAAAGTAGGGTCCTTTGTAATTGTAGGATGAAAAATAGTTGTCCATTAAATGGGACATGCTGTACACAACGGGTCGTGTACTATGCCGATGTGGAAAGTGACAATAGCAGTGCAAAAAAAATCATCGGTTGCACTGAGAGTCAGTTTAAGGAAAGGTGCTATAACCATAATTCATCTTTTAGAATACATACATATAGAGAGAGAGTTGGATTATAGTTCGATTGGTGTGAGTTTGTGACGCTATTGTTTCACGCTATTTGCAATCGTCAGACAAACTGATTAATTTTTTAAATTTTGGATTTATATATGGTTGCGTATATCGGTGTTTTTATGGTAGTGCGAGGAAAAATTATCGTCGGAATGCCACTCATACGTACGCAAACATACATACACGCACGTTCACTCACTGACTTACGCAGACATACATACACGCACGTTCACTCATTCGAGCTAACATAAACATAAACATATATGAACAGTGTGGGACTGGGTATATATGCGCATACATATGTCGTTGCGTACATACGTACGCATTTGATCACTGTAGTCAATGTTGGATTGTGTAGCGAATATCTTTCGTCAGTTGCAGTGTCAACACGCAGACCGTCTATCTTGTTCGTTGAATAATGTTTTCTTGCACATAAGTATATACGTATGATGGGGTCTGTGTAAGACTATGGTAGGTAAAATTGCTGTTATTTGTAATTTTTTAATGTTGTTTCGTTATTAATTTAAAGCAGCTTATTTGCTTGTTATTGGCGATTGCGCATATATAAATGGTAGAAACTCCAATTTGTAATACTTATTAGTATTTATGGGGTGATATTAATTTTGCTGGGGAAAGGAGAAGTAAGTATAATTGTGTACTGATACGGTAATGGTAATTGTGGTGCAGTAGTAATTGTGGACTAATGCGATAATGGTAATTGTGATACGGTAGTATATATTCATCTTTTATAATATAATATACACACACACACACACACACACACACACACACACATATATATTTCTTTGTGCGTATTATATATATATATATATATATATATATATATATATGGTGGGCGGATGAAATTCTCTGTATTCGTTTGGGATGACATCTTACACATTCATACAGGTGTAGTTTATAGTACACACAAACATACCTGTATAACCAGTTCGAGACCAGGCGAAGATACATGTCCATATATACATACATTTGTAACTACGCCTAATTTCGAATTGTTTATACGAGTATGTTTGTGTGTACTATAATACGTACACCTGTATGTATGTGTGTGTGGGCAAGAGCGTCATCCCAAAACGGTAACAGAAAAAATTTCCCCAACCAAACATAGTCAAACACAAACAAGTATAAATAAATTTATTTTTAAATAAATAAAATCAGTGTGTCTGTAGAGAGCATAAGCGTGAAACGCAGGGTCACAAACTCATATCCACTGAATATGTTACCTCTATCACTGATATTGAGCGTTTTCCACCAAGTATTGTATATATACATATATATATATATATATATATATATATATATATATACACACACACACACACACATATATATATATATATATATATATATATATATATATATATATATATATATATATATATGAAGAAAATTATGGAAAAACCAAAATCCGAATATGCAAGTATGCTGTTTTAATGTTGTTTCAATGTCGACGTCAGACGTTTCGGTCTAGTAGACCTTCTTCAGGACATAGTTATTAAAACATAATTAAAATTAGGCGATATTCATGTCAATATGAAAAGACGATAGACATAAGACTAATCAAAACAGAATAACTGAAATTTTTAAGATCAGCATTCCGTTTCGCAATACGATCACGTCGGCATCACGTTATGTTTTAATAACTATGTCCTGAAGAACGTCTACTAGGCCGAAACGTCTGACGTCGACAACATTAAAACAGCATACTTGTATATTCAGATTTTTGTTTTTCACACACACACACATATATATATATATATATATATATATATATATATATATATATATATATATATGACTCCATCGCCAATCGCTGTAAGTATGTTGAATATGACAGACAAGGAAAATTTGAAGATTTTTTTTCTCTTAAATATTTGTGTTTCAAGGTGTTAAGAGGATGTAAAAATGTCCATTGTTCGTAGCCATTTTTTTAGACATTTTCAAGAGGTTTCTTGTTAATTGTTGTGAATTTCTTTTGGAACGGTAGACACAATGGATAATTTTTACAATCCCTTACTTTCACCTAACGGAAACATTTTAAAATACTAGAAAAACTCAATAAAAAAAATCATCAAATTTCCCTTGTCTGTCATATTCAACGAGACATGTTTGAAAGAATGTTTGCTGCCCAAAATATATATATATATATATATATATATATATATATATATATATATATATATGTATATGTATATAAATTTCTCAGAATTAAACTGTAGGAAAGACAATATTTATAAATATAAATGACAATAGGAAAACTGTAGTTATAGCTGACGCGTTTCGTCCAAAGTGGACTTTCTCAAAGCAAAAAACGAAATGAATTTAATTAAAGAAAGTAACTAATAATAACAAACACAAAATGTCCTTAGCAACTGGAGGAATGTAGAAAACGCTATTTTCATATTGTTAACTGAAAATAACGTCAGTTGTTGTCACGTGTGGAGAATACTGTCATTATTGCTGTGTTGACGGATTCAACCATTTTCTTTTGATTTTACGATATTGTTGTGTGCGTTTGTTTGGGAGAGCAGTAATTTTGTTAAGAAAGGTGAAATAGGGAAAAGGCCTGGGCGTGAATTAATATTTGGGTAATATTCTATGGTGGAACTCTCTATATTCTCTCTCTCTCTCTCTCTCTCTCTCTCTCTATATATATATATATATATATATATATATATATATATATAGAGAGAGAGAGAGAGAGAGAAAATATTGAATTAGCTTAGATAGATAGATAGAAAGAAATAAGGCATTAATAGAGATGAATAGAATGAGATAGATAGATAGAGATAGATAGATATGAACAAAATAAGGCATTAATAGAGATGAATAGAATTAGATAGATAGATAAATAGATAGATAGATAATGAGCAGAATGAGATAGATAGATAGATAGATAGATAGATAGATAGATAGATAGATAGACAGATATGAATAAAATAAGTCCTTTATATAGATATATAGATAGATAATGAATAGAAGAATGAGATAGATAGATAGATAGATAGATAATGAACAGAATGAGATAGATAGATAGATAGATAGATAGATAATGAACAGAATGAGAGAGATAGATAGATAGATAGATAATGAACAGAATGAGATAGATAGATAGATAGATAGATAGATAGATAGATAGATAGATAGATATGAATAAAATAAGTCCTTTATATAGATATATAGATAGATAATGAATAGAATGAGATAGATAGATAGATAGATAATTAACAGAATGAGATAGATAGATAGATAGATAGATAGATATGAATAAAATAAGTCCTTTATATAGATATATAGATAGATAATGAATAGAATGAGATAGATAGATAGATAGATAGATAGATAATGAACAGAATGAGATAGATAGATAGATAGATAGATAGATAGATAATGAATAGAATGAGATAGATAGATAGATAGATAGATAGATAGATAATGAACAGAATGAGATAGATAGATAGATAGATAGATAGATAGATAGATGGATGATAGATGAACAGAAATGGGATAGATAGATAGATAGATAGATAGATAGATAGATGGATAGATAGATAACAGAATGAATAGGATAGATAGATAGATAGATAGATAGATAGATAAGGAACAGAATGGGATAGATGGATAGATAGATAGATGGATGGATAATAGACAGAATGAGATAGATAGATGGATAGATAGATAGATAGATAGATAGATGGATAATGAACAGAATGGGATGGATGGATAGATAGATAGATAGATAGATAATGAATAGAATGAGATAGATAGATAGATAGATAGATAGATAGATAGATAGATAGATAATGAATAGAATGAGATCGATAGGAAGAAAGAGAGGAAGAAAATAAGACAGATAGAGAATGAGAGATCGAGAGGAGATAGTACAGAAGAATTACGTAATGGAAGAAACGCGAAGCAAAATGGCGAGCGACAGACAAACAGATTGATGCACACATGCAGATCTGCTAGTGACAATGTCACCCGAAGTACCTTGAAGGGTAATCTTGCTAAAGCCGATTTGCGACAGTGGTGAATGATTGCGGAGAAACATGTGTCAACAAGGGGAACGTTAAACCGGCCGCCACTGGTGATGCGGGCAGACACAGTCGACTTGAGCATTTCGAACTGTTTGACAAGAAAAGCTGGTCACATGTATTTTTCTCTGGCTGTGATGGGAATGAAAGCAAAAATGCCGAAGCCCCCAGGACGGTCAACGAATGAAATTGCAGGAGAAGAAAAGGAATTATTGACACGTGACAAACTGCTGATGTCATCAAAATGAAATCTGGGGAGCTTCCTTTGACAGGAGGCTTAATTCTTTGATTTTTGTGATTCAACAGGAACATATATATATATATATATATGAATGTGTGTGTGTGTGTGTGGAGAGAGTGAGAGAGAGAGAGAAAGAAAAACTGACTGATATAAATATATACACTGTTGTTGTTGTTCAAAGTATGCATAGATAATAATCATTGGTGACCACCATTTTTGAGTCAGTCTGCCAATAAGCATCTACACGCTACACGTGTTCGGTTATAAAGTTAGGTATTGTGGTGTATTGAAACAGCTCTGTGACCTTCAAAATGACTAATTAATTCGAGCTTCAACTGCTGACTCACACACAAACACCCCCATACCCATACACATACGCACACACACACGCACACACACACATACATATATATAAATATAAAAGTGAACATTGAAGTCAACACTTAGAGGCAACAGGCTGTTTCATGCTAGACGCAATCGTCAGGCCACGAGTGTTGACTTCAATGTTCACTTTTATATTTACACACGCTCTGTCTCTAATATTGCGCACTTTATCCCATAAATATAGCACACCTTAAGAGTATATTTCTTTAAATATATATATATATATATATATATATATATATATATATATATATATATATATATCATAATTAAGTAATTCATCGAGTCAAGTAGAAACCTCAACAGAATGCAGAAAGCACTGGACGACCGTTTCGTCCTGTATTTGGTACTCATCAGCAGTGCGCACCCATTACCGAGAATTGAAACCTGAGCCGTAACCATGTGAGGCAAACGTCATACCAACTGTACATGTTATATACCATACATAGCACTGATGGTTATGTCTCAATCTTCATAAATACATTAGATACTATAGACAGAAAAAGGGGGTAATAAAATGTCTAAAGAAGTTCACCACTAGCAGTGGTTTACCTACTTCACGCCGCTGGCGAGTATTGTATTTTGTTGATGTTATAAAGATTACTATTTCATTTCCAAACTCCGTTTTGTTTATTCCGCATTTTCTAGATTACAACAATACATCAATAATAACATCCCTTTTCCTTATCCATTAATAGACACTATCAAGTAAATGAACAGTCTATTAAAAAAAATTGTAAAAGTTAACAGCTCCACAGCTACACAGAATTAAAAACATTACACAAAACATTACGAATGACTTTCCTAATTACATCGTTAATGAATAAATTAAACGATCCATTAGAAATATTAACATAAATCAATAAGAACATAATATTTCCTCAAATAACCCTAAGTACTAATATATTCCCCACTGATCACAGATAAAAAATAAAACAAATTATATACTTTACTAAATTTAACAAAACCACCTCAATCATACGCAATAACTCTTCATCAACTAGTGAAAGACCAACATTGTATATCAGTTTAAAAAGTAAGTACATATATTGGTTTGACGACCACAACATTATCACGACGGCTTACACTTTATTTATCGGATAGAAGTACTATTGCGCAACATCTAAAAAACACTCCTGCCCACCTTCACAATACAAAAAAATACTTGTCGACAAAACCAACATCACGAAAATAATTAAAAAAATAAGTTCAAATTTTCGAGGACCTCAATAGCAGGAACAACCAAACAACACTCAATAAAATTTATTACGAGTGTAGCAGCAACATTTTCATGTGTATATAACAAACATTTAATGTAATTTTGTATTTCTACCATTTTTTCCTTATATTGAAATTGTTGTTTTGCAAAAAATCCCAGCTCTACAACGGCTAAATTTTAAAATCATTGCAAATCGCATTTTTAAAAATCACCATCACAACAAAATGCAGATTTTATCGCAGTTACGATAAATTTGATTTTATAATTGAGCCCTGAAGATGATCTTGGAAAAGATCGAAAGAACTTGGGTTATGTCTGTATCATTCAATGAAACATGTCTGAATGAAGATATGCTACTTATAGTCGACTCTCCCGTCAAATTCGACGTATGAGGGTCAAGCAGATCAGTTCCTAGGAAACCGACAGCCCGACAACGCCACATGAGAATTGATTATAGTGGTGAAGGTTTTGTGCAGGACCATCCACACTTTTTGAAAGGCCGAATTCAAAGACAGGGTGCACTAAGTGCCACAAGGTCACCAAACGACCTTCCGTAGGTTTTGAATTCAGAGTTGTCCTTCTCCTAGACCAGTTGCCATCCAAGGCTATAGAACCCAGTCTGTCCTGTTATTTACCTATAGCTATTTACTATGTAATAGCTATGTCCTGCTATTTACCCTTTTTTAGGAGGCACGGTGGAGTAATGAATAGCGGCTTGGATTGAGGAATTGCGGAGCCGAGTTCGAATTCCAATCGAATCCATTACATTCACTTATGTGATAATACCCTTGGGAAAGGTGTGAATCCTCTTCTTCTCCTTCCATTCTATATATATATATATATATATATATATATATATATATAATTGTGCATTTGGGCAGAAATCCCTCTCTTATATAAACTGAACTAAAGACGACTGACAAGGTACTGCGATTAAGCTCTTTAATCTCTTGTGCAAACGTTTTCTTTTCCCGGCGTAAAGTGCATAAGAACTGTGCAAATGTTCTATGCAGGGTGCGATGGATAAATTGTCGTCATGTTATATGTTTTTCTTAATTTCGCGCGTGCGCGTTTTTATGTTTTCGCTTTTGTCGTCTGCACAGTGTAGATTGGGCACCATCTGTAAGAAAAAGAGCATTATGTTGCAATTCACTCCGCCGATAGCAAGAATATTTCCATAAACCCCTTTCTAAAAAAAAAAAGCGGCATAATTCCTCGGACCGATGATAAAACTTCTTCTTAAAGACGACATTAATGAAAAAAAGTAAATGAACGCAAAGTTACAAAATAGTTTTATACTTTAAATGAACAAGGAAGAAATTATCTAAAAGAAAAACCTAAGAGAACTACTATATATATATATATATATATATATATATATATATATATAAAGACGACATTGTAATCTTTGTCGCCATATTTGTCACAAAAAAATTTCGAACTGAAATTTCGATCACGTTCCAATGTTTGATGGATGTCAGTTATCAGTTATCTCCTGTTAAAAGTAACAGACCCAAAAGAAGGTTTCAATACCTGGTTAAGGCAATGGAGAACTTTCAGAGGAAAATTAGGCCGAAACGTTTGACAAATATGGCGACAAAAGAAAGAAGTCCGACTAATGTAAAAGACTAATATCAGATCATATATATATATATATATATATATATATATATATATATATATATATATATATATTCCCAGCAATGATAAACCATCGAATCCTGTCCAAGTCTTATAGTACTTTGATTACCCGTGAAGTGTCGAACGATATGTGACAAGTCAACCTACGGGAGAGCGTACTGGATGTGTGACCAACGTAAAATATCATTTTAAAAATGATGTGACATTGGACATCAGACTAAAATACGGCTAAGGAACGAACTCATCAGTAAATCGAATTTTTGTTGTCGAAGCTGAAAAATCACCGATTAGAAATTAATTGGCACGTTTTATTAAACATGTCTGTAGAGTGGGGCACATTTAATTTTTGATTTTGTTAAGGGCGTCTTGAGTATATTTAAGCAATTGTTTATGGAAACATAACCACATAAAATACAAAAATCCAGGTATTCATATGACGATCAAATCAGGAATAGGTAGCAACCCACAAAAATTTTAACACGAAAAAAACAAACTCAGACTTTACTCATCTTCTTCAGGACGTAGACGATCATGGTTCTCCACAATTTCCTGTCTTTCGTAGCTCTTAATAACTTTTGTTTTTTCTCCAAAATCCTGCTCCGCCATCTACTTACTCGACCTCACTAAGTGTACGCTATTTTCCTCTGATTCTCTTGTCTTCACTCTATCCTGGGAGTGTTAGATTTTTCAAACTCCCTTTCCTCGTTATTTGCCCTGGAAATTTCAACTGTCTCTTCCTGATGGCATGTATAAGTTTCTATTTTGTTTCTATTTTCTCTAAAATTTCTAAATATTCGGTCCATGGTGTCCTCAGCAGCCTTCAGTTCTTCAAGTTTGGTTTGGTTTGGTTTGGTTTGGTTTAAATATGACGTTATTTAATAACAGTCTATATTTCTGAGAAGGTATTATGTAACTATTTACATTATTAGGACTATTGGCCTCATCTTTGTCGCCATATTTATTACAACGTTTCAGCCGTTGTACGCTCCGGCCTTCTTCAAGGACACATGGCACAGTAGATAAAGACGTTGGTTAGATCCAGTGACAGGACCCAATGAGTGTGATTTCAATACCCGTTTAAGACAGTGGAGAACTTTCGGAGGGGAATTAACAGGAGATAACTGAGCATCCATTAAACATGGCACGTGTAACTAGAAAGTCTACCCCAGTGAGCGAAATAAATATGGTGACAAAGAAGACCGGAGCGTCCAATAGAAAAAGATTTATGGTGACAAAGATGAGAACAATAGTAAGATTTTTATTTTTTTTTTTTTTTCAAAATGTATTCCTGCTAATTGTATTGCTGGAAATATTTTATTTCAAAACTCTATTGCTGGTCATAATATTTTCTTCAAAAAATTATAGCTGGTAATAATCTTTTCCAAAAAAGTATTGCTGGTATTAAAACTTATTTTTATACTTTCAAAATTCTTTGACCCCTTTTTGTGGGGTTAGGGATTGTAACTATTGACAGGTGCTAACCCCACGGTCAGGGTGGACATAGGAACATTTGCAATTTAGAGGTGGGTCTACGCTCCTCAAAAGCTCCAGATCAGAGGCCTTTCTGTCCGATGTAGTTTATCGTCATACACAAGACGGG